AGAAGCTCAAGCCAAAATGAAGAAATCTTACGACCAAAAGGCTAAATCTCGTTCATTCTCTCCAAATGAATTAGTGTTAGTTAAAAACTTAATTCCAGGACATTCTTTAAAACCTAGATATTTGGGGCCATATGAAATAATAGACAAAGAAAATGAGGTGAATTACCTGGTCTGTGAACCAGGACGTCGTAAGAAAATTAAGAGGTATCACATAGATAACTTAAAGAAGTACGAGTCTAACCTTCTCCCTTCTATTACCTCTATTCAACCTACATCCACTGAAATAAGGAATGACACTGTAAGGGAAGTAAGAGAATTTAGACTACATAATTCTGAATGGATCAAAGTAGAATGACATGGAAAGCATATAAATCTATAGGGGAAGGAAAGAGGGGTAGGGGTCGTCCTCGAAAGGGTTGGAAAGAGGGGGTAAAGGAGGTTTTGTGGGTGAGGGGCTTGGACTTCCAGCAAGGGTGCATGAGCGTGTTAGATAGGAGTGAATGGAGACGAATGATACTTGGGACCTGACGATCTGTTGGAGTGTGAGCAGGGTAATATTTAGTGAAGGGATTCAGGGAAACCGGTTATTTTCATATAGTCGGACTTGAGTCCTGGAAATGGGAAGTACAATGCCTGCACTTTAAAGGAGGGGTTTGGGATATTGGCAGTTTGGAAGGATATGTTGTGTATCTCTATACGTATATGCTTCTAAACTGTTGTATTCTGAGCACCTCTGCAAAAGCAGTGATAATGTGTGAGTGTGGTGAAAGTGTTGAATGATGATGAAAGTATTTTCTTTTTGGGGATTTTCTTTCTTTTTTTTTTTGGGTCACCCTGCCTCGGTGGGAGACGGCCGACTTGTTGAAAAAAAAAAAAAAAAAAAAAAAATAATTCTGAAGTTTTAAAACAACTAGACCATTTCCTGGAAGTTCTTCCTACCTCCCAAAAATCTCAAATAAAAGAGTTAATCACTAAATATAACTCCATCTTCAAAGATATCCCTACTCCTTGTACCTTGGGTTTCCACGACCCTTACTGGGTCTCTCCTGCTAAGCAAGAATTAGTTCAGCAAGAAATAAATACATTACTGGAATATAATTTGATAGAACCCAGTTGGACACCTTGGGCCTCTCCCTGTTTATTGGTCCCAAAACCCGATGGTACCATACGCCTATGCACAGATTATCGTAAAGTAAATTCAGTCACCAAACCAGATGGGTTTCCATTACCCAGGACTGATGATTTAATAGATGCTGTAGCTGGTGCCAACTTTGTGACCAGATTAGACTTACTGAGAGGGTATTACCAGGTGCCGTTAACTCCGAGGGCCCAAGAGATTTCCGGGTTCGTAGTTAAGAACGGACTATTTACGTATAAGGTTATGCCTTTCGGCTTGTGTAACGCCGCCTCCACTTTCCAGAGAATTATGAACATTTTAGTCCAACCCTTAGAAGGTGTAGAGGCATACTTAGACGACCTGGTGGTTTTTAGTGATGATTGGCAGTCTCATTTAGAAAGATTAGAGCAACTACTGAAAGCATTGCATAAATACAATTTCACTGTAAATTTACAAAAATGTGACTTTGGTAAAGCCCAGATTAAATATCTCGGTTTTAAAATAGGGAAGGGACTAGTAGCCCCCGACCAATTAAAGGTCCAAGCTATTTTAAATTTTCCGACGCCTCAGGACAGGAAAGCCCTCCAAAGATTTTTGGGAAAGCTACTTATTACAGGCATTTTTGCCCAAACTTTGCTCAAGTTGCCTCCCCTCTTACTAGATTGACCAGTCCTAAATATAAATTTAATTGGGACGAGAATTGTGAACAAGCTTTTAAACGTTTAAAACGTTTCCTTTCCTCCGCCCCAGTATTGCGTGCACCCAATTTCCAAATTCCTTTCACCCTCCATGTTGATGCCAGTGATGCAGCAATAGGGGCTGTCTTATTGCAATCTTTCCAAAACAGTAATATTCTACATCCAATATGTTACTTTTACTATAAACTAAAAGAATATCAAAGATCGTATTCAACCAAAGAAAAAGAAGCCCTGGCTTTAGTCTTGTCCTTGGAACACTTTGACATATACCTCGGTTATACTCCTCATGTGATAAATATTTACTCAGACCATAATCGTCTAACTTTCATAAATTCTATGAAATCAAAAAATGTTAGAATATTATGTTGGGCTTTAAGGACCCAACCTTACCGGATCTCCATATTTCACATAAAGGGTTCGAGCAACGTTTTAGCCGATGCTCTCTCTCGCTCCTAATATATTGCCTAACTACGGAAATTCTTTGCAGTCTAGCAGTGTTTCTGGTCCAGTTCTAGCAAGTGGACGACTGAGCTCGGAGAGATGTACCTCCATCCCTACACCAGCTGGTTGGTTTCTTCCACACCATCAGCATCTTAAACGCCGAGATATTTGCTTGTGGGCTGGGGTGTCATGCCCCTATGGTTAACCTTTCTTTAATATTACATTGCGGTTATTTCCTTTAATAGCTAAATTGGAAATGAGCGTCCTTGTATTATTAAGGCTAATTCTTATTAACAATTATTATAATTTATGTAACATGGCCATGATAAGTTTAATTGGAGGTATAGTAACATGCCTGCTGCCCGGTGTGCCGGTGTATGGTTAGCCGTGATGTTCGATGGTTATAACCCCCTTCCCCCCCCCCTTTATGTTCAACTACTCTACTGAGTGTTGGCGAGTCACTTCACGTGACCCACTTTACCTGTATGCTCAAGGTTGAGGGACGAGCAGTGAAGAAGTAGCAGCCAACGAGAACACTCCTGCCGTCTCTGGTAACTGGCCAAGGTTCATTATCCGGCCTGGACATATTCTGTTTTATTCTGACTGCTTCCAATTGGGAAATAAGACTTTATACATTAAAGTAATCTTTGTATATATATATATATATGTTATATATAGGATCTCCTCCTAATCATCTGTTATGAAAGCCTTGTATATTTTGGATAATATAGAACAAACATGCATTCTTAACTTATATACGATAATTCGCATATTATTATTTCTGGCTTTTTGTTGAATCATGAATATACTTAATTAAAATTAGTCATTCCAGAGGATCACTATTATTACCCTAACCTCTCTGATCAAAGTTGTTATGCTCTAACCAGAAGGAAATAGTGGTTACAATACTTGGAGTATAACACACACTTAACAGCACCTTTCAAGGCAGGTGAAATTGCTGACCTAGAAAATGTACAGAGAACCTTCACAGCATGCATAACAGAGATAAAACACCTCAATTACTGGGAGCGCTTGAAGTTCCTGAACCTGTATTCCCTGGAACGCAGGCGGGAGAGATACATGATTATATACACCTGGAAAATCCTAGAGGGGCTAGTACCGAACTTGCACACGAAAATCACTCACAACGAAAGCAAAAGACTTGGCAGACAATGTAACATCCCCCAATGAAAAGCAGGGGTGTCACTAGCACGTTAAGAGACAATACAATAAGTGTCAGGGGCCCGAGACTGTTCAACTGCCTCCCAGCATACATAAGGGGGATTACCAATAGACCCCTGGCAGTCTTCAAGCTGGCACTGGACAAGCACCTCAAGTCGGTACCAGACCACCCGGGCTGTGGCTCGTACATTGGATTGCAAGCAGCCAGCAGTAACAGCCTGGTTGATCAGGCTCTGATCCACCAGGAGGCCTGGTCACAGACCGGGCCGCGGGGGTGTTGACCCTCGGAACTCTCTCCAGGTAAACTAAAATAACATTTCCTCCGTTCATTAGTTACATTTTCAGGCCTTACACATAAATTCCATTTTGAATTTTTATTCACAAAAAAAATACAAGATTTACTGTTATGCAATATTGTAATAATTGTATAAATAATATCAGTGCATTCGTGAATGCATATGTGACTGACCAGTTGGACACGTAATGAACGAGTGACATGATTTGTTTACTCTGGAATATTGGCAAAAATTGAATATTTTTATTACTTTGAGGTCAATTTCAAGCCATTCCAGTCCTCAAACCCATCAAAATCATCTCTACTGTTGTAATATATCTTCCATTATATCAAATGAGACCAAGAAACCATCAATACAACCATAAAAACCATACAAAAATACACCGCAGTCACTGTTTTCAACCAAAAAGAGTCGCGTTTTTTCTCATTGTGCACTGCGTGCTGCAGGATTTTTATATGATGCACATTTACTGCACTGACCCATTCTCTCATATTTAGGCCCAAATTTACCACTCACAGCTTATCTGAGTGAGCTGAGCTCACTGCATAGTACTATGGCATGGACACTGGCTTTAAAGCCGTAGAACAATGGCATGGACACCGAAAGGGTTAAAAAGAAGCAAAATGTTATTGCAGGATATATAACACCAAAATTCTCAATTGAACCACAGTGATGAAAATACTCAAAACAGACTGATAAACATCATGACTCAAGATGCTCCCAGAAATCAACTGTAGGTGGCATGAATAGTCAGTGAGAGGAAAGTCACATTCCATGGCATGTAGTACTCACACTTTGCATCAAATATAATGATATGGCATGATGTACTAATATTTCACACATCAAATGATTCTTAAGGCTTCATGACAATGTAACAAAGACTTCAACATGATATTGATTTTTTTGGCTGCACTTTTTAAATTCATTGCAAGAAAATTGCACAGCATGAAGTCATGTTGTATTTAATTATTTATTGTATTTTATCACTTGTATCACATTAATATGCATAAGTTATGATGTCAGTCTGTTAGATAAACATTAAAATAAATTTTTTACTGGATGGGAGATGGGTAAAGTGTTAATCTGGTGCCAACAGAGCACAAACTAACAATCAGAACTTTATGAAACTCATGATAAGAATTTTTCCTAAAATGGGATATGATCAATATTCACAACTTTAAAGTTTTTAAATAACATGGCTAAAAGTAAACTATAACAAAAGAATGTGAACTTTATATTGAAAAACCTAAATTGACAAAGACTCACTTGCACTTCTTTTATTTTGGAGTCATTGCTGGTTTGTGTACTTGATCTGCTTGTCTTCTTGATGGTGGTAGTTCCCCCTTTCTCACTGAAACTCACCCAGTCACCACTTTCTGTTCGAGCCATTAGTGAGGTACTCTGTCAGTAACAAATAAGATCGAATCATTTAATATAATACAATATTTTATCTATACGAATTATATATAGTCTTGGTTTCCAATCCCAGAATACTGTATATAACAAAATCTCAATACAAAATATCTTTTTTTTTTAAACACATTGGTTGCTTCCCACTGAGGCAGGGTGACCCAAAAAGAAAGAAAATCCAAAAAGAAAGAAAAATACTTTCATCATCATTCAACACTTTCACCATCACTCATACATAATAACTGTCTTTGCAGAGGTGCTCAGATATGACAGTTTAGAAGTCCCTCCAAACTGCCAATATCCCAAACCCCTCCTTTAAGGAGGGGTTTGGGATATCGGCAGTTTGGAGTGATATGTTGTGTATCTTTATTTGTATATGCTTCTAAACTGTTGTATTCTGAGCACCTCTTGCAAAAACAGTGATTGTGTGAGTGAGGTGAAACTGTTGAGTGATGAAAGTATTTTCTTTTTGGGGATTCTTTCTTTCTTTTTGGGTGGGTCATCCTGCCTCGGTGGGAGACAGCCGACTTGTTAAAAAAGAAAAAAAAAAGTACAATCAGCTATCCTATAAAGCTCCTCTATATAGCAGTGCAATTTTTCATGAATGCAATTGAACATGTACAGTGCTCATCACAGCATTATGCTGCCCCTCCCCCACACATACCAAAACACAAACACATACCATGAAAGATTATAATATATATATTTGCACACTTGCTGAGGTTTTAATATTTGGTGCTGCATCCTTACGCTTAATCACGCCCCTCAGCCGTGTAGGAAAACTCTCACACAAATTCTTGAGGGCTTGGGGAGGTATATTATTCGATGCCTCATGTAGAGCATCTTCCAGTCACAGGATGGAACTGATATCCTTGCCCAGTAAATGTTGTTTCACTATTGACCAAAGGTTCTCAATAGGATTTAAGTCTGGGGAATTTTCTGGCCAATCATTAAAGAACCTCACTTCACAGTCCTTATGCCACTGAACTACAGATTTGGTGGTATGACACGGTGCACCATCCTGCATAAAAACCGTAGCCCCACACTTGTCAAACGCCTTGGGTAAATTGTCACACAATAACTCCAGGTAATTATACTGGTTCATATACTGGTTTTTTGGGAAACACAATGAGTTCCCTAACACTCTGAGCACTGAAACACCCCCAAACCATGAGTGAGTCTGGGTGTTTGGTGGTCCCACAAGTGTAGTGTGGGTCTAGCAGGTCACTACCTTTGGGTCCCCCACAGTTACAGGTGACGGTGAAGGTCGCTTCATCACTCCAGAGTACTTCAGACCACTGTTAAGGATTTCAGTGAAGCTATTTCTTTGCATAATCCAGCCTATGTTTCTTCTGTGGCTTGGAGAGGATCGGTTTCTTAACCTGGCAGTGACTACTGTAGCCCAGTTCTGACACACGTCTGCTAACAGTTCTTATAGACACCTCTGAGAGAAGAGGGGGGTTCTTTTCTTTCAATTCTCTAGCAGTTATCTTAGGTGTGCTATCAAACTACTTCTTTAACACAGTTAAGGTACACACAGATGTCTTCTTCGAGGGGCCAAGCTGAGATTTGGCAGAAAGTATTTCGACACCGCCACCAGCCTTGAAATGCTGTACCCAGTTCCTCACTGAACACACATACACACCAACATTCTCCACTATTTCTTTCATCTGGTGCCCAGCTTTGTGAAGCCCTATGATTTGAGCTATAGTTTCAGTTGTTAAAGACTTCCTTTTACCCATAATCAAACATGTATAGCCCCAAAACCAAAGGGAACACCGGACAAAAGATGGGGTGGATGAGACAAAAGTGCAACACTTCCTCTCACCATGGCAGCCACATGAGCACTGGGGAGTCACTGTGGAGTGTGGCGGCAGGCCGTGACATTGTGCTAACAGCTGCTACCTGGCATAATGCACCGACGAAACAAGAATACCTCCCTTGTATGTTAGGCCTTTGATTTTTGTTACGGCATTATGCAGGGGCGCTCACCCGGCATAATGCCGTGGCAAGCACTGTACGTACAAAATTGTATAGCTCGTGTATGTGATATTCAGTTTTAATACATTTTTTCAATGGCATTTACAAAAATTACACTGTATAGAGGAGCTTTATAAGAGAGTTGACTGTATATATTATTTAAATTTACTAATTTTTTTTAGGGGAAAAGAAGAGAAGAGACAGGAAGATGAAGGGAAGCATGCATTTCTAAAGATTATTCATAATAAATATTTTGGGAGTTGTCAGCAGATGGGTTTATGAAAGATGAGGTTAGCCATAAAATTGGTGAAGGAAAAAAGGTGAGTGGTGCATTGAGGTATCTGTGGAGACAAAAAGCGTTATCCATGGAGGCAAAGAAGGGAATGTACGAAAGTATAGTGGTACCAACTCTCGTATGTGGGTGTGAAGCTTGGGTTGTAAATGCTGTGGCAAGGAGGTGGCTGGAGGCAGTGGAGATATCGTGTCTAAGGGAAATGAGTGGTGTAAATATTATGCAGAGAATTCGGAGTGTGGAAATTAGGAGGAGGTGTGGAGTTAATAAAAGTATTAGTCAGAGAGCTGAAGAGGGGTTGTTGAGGTGGTTTGGTCATTTAGAAAGGATGGAACAAAGTAGAATGACTTGGAGAGCGTATAAATCTGTAGGGGAAGGAAGGTGTGGTAGAGGTCATCTTCGAAAAGGTTGGAGGGAGGGGGAAAAGGAGGTTTTGTGGGTGAGGGGGCTTGGACTTCCAGCAAGCATGTGTGAGCATGTTAGATAGGAGTGAATGGAGACAAGTGGTTTTTGGGACCTGACGATCTGTTTGAGTGTGAGCAGGGTAATTTGTGAAGGGATTCAGGGAAACCGGTTAGCTGGACTCGAGCCTTGGAAATGGGAAGTACAATGCCTGCACTTTTAAAGTGCAGGCATTGTACTTCCCATTTCCAGGACTCAAGTCCGGTTATATAAAAATAACCGGTTTCCCTGAATCCCTTCACTAAATATTACCCTGCTCACACTCCAACAGCTCGTCAGATTCCAAATACCTATGTTATACAAATATTAGATGGCCCTTTTTAATTAATTGAAATAACAAGTTAAGGCACAAGTGTTAAGGCTCAAACTTTATTCCTATATACATATTTTTTTGTTTTGTTTTGTTTTACTTGATTTATGGCTCCAGATTTTAGAAACTGGGAATGTATGTCTTGGCAAGTGGGTTCATGAAAGATGAGGTAAACTACAGAATCGATGAAGAGGGAGAAAAGATAGGTGGTGGGTTGCAACATTTGTGGTAAGAAAGATACAGTATTTATTTTCTTAAGACTCTGGTTGTCTTCCACTGAGGGAAGATGACTTGACAAAGAGGAAAACACATTCACTGTCAATCCCAAAGTCACTGCCTTGCCAGAAGTGTGCTGACATTACAGTTCAGGTGACTCTCCAAACTGCAACAGGCACCACTTCCCACCTCCAGGACTCAGGTTCAGCTAACCAGTTTCCCTGAATCCCTTCAAAAGTGTTACCTTGTTCACACCTCAACAGCACTCAAAACCTCCTTTACCCCTCCCTCCAACCTTTCCTAAGACAGCCCCTACCCATCCTTCCCTCAACCCCAGATTTATATGCCTTCCTAGTCATCCTATTTTTCTCCATCCCCTCTAAATGCCCAAAGCACTTCAAGAACTTTCTCTACCTTCTGCACAATACCTTTGGTAACTTCACACCTCTTCCTAGTCTCTAAACTTCAAATTTGAGGTTTTATTCATGGAGGCAAGAAGGGGACTGTACCAGAGTATAGTGGTACCAATAAGAGTTTGATGAATGGGCTTTAAATGTGGCTGTGAGAAGAAGGCTGGAGGCAGTGGAGATATCATGTTTGATGTGAGGTGTGAATATCATGCAGAGACTTCACAGTGTAGAAATTAGATGATGGTGTAAAGTCACCAAAGCTATAATTCAGTCCTGAGAAGGGGCTGTTGAGGGAAGTTTGGGCATTTAGAGAGGACTAAAGTATACAAATCAGGAGTGGAAGGAAGGAGGGATAAGGAGTTGGCTTGAGCAGCCAGCAGGCAGCCAGTATGTTTGATTGAAGCAAGTGGAGACAAGTGGTTTTTATGGCTTGATGAGCTGTTAGAAATGTAAGATAACTTTTATGAAGGGATTTTGGGACATTGGTTTATTGGACTGGAGTCCTGGAGGTGGGAAGCACAGTGCCTGCACTTCAAAGGCATAGTGGAGATACTGCAGTTCATAGGCAAGATGGCTACTAAATGAATGCTGGTGAATGTATTTCCTCATTTTTCATGTTACATAACCTCAGTGTAAGACAGTGTTAAAAAAAAAAAAAAAAAAAAAAAAAAGTTCCTTGGGTCTGATTTCTGGATTTATGCTATCACATTTCATTGTAGTCATGTAAAAATCCTGTACTGCCGTATATGTTAATTCCTTTTTATTTTCCCAAAATAAAAATTTTGTGACCCAAAATATTATACAGTATTAAGTAGGTCATTTGAGACCCCTAGTCCCTAACTTGCTATATCCCATTACATCTGTGTTTCACTGTTAGTGAAGCTTTCATGGAACATAATCACAGCATTCTGTAAGGGACTGCTGAGGCAATATGTGGCTAATTTAATGAAGAAAGCACATTATTAAGGCTTACCTTAGTGTGGATGTCAGTTATTTGCAGGACACGTGTAGGACCATCTGTATCTACCTTCACTAAAAGTATTCCTGAACCAGGCCTTAAACGCTGCCTAGAAATGGCCTGCTCCAATGGGACACCATTTCCCATTGTGCCATAGTGAACAAGTTGAGGTGGACCTAAAACCACATCATTCCCTTGAAATAAAGAAAAAACTAGATATGGAACTGGTTAAGAGTTAGAACTGTCATAACAGTACCTGGTTTTAGTGATTTATAAAATTGGAGGGACTGGCAGTGTGTGTTACTGAATGATGTAATTATTTTAACCTGTGTAACAAGCTTTAATAAAAGCACTTAGTAATTTTTAGAAGGCCTTCTGTGTGCCTGAATATAATCACAGAATATTAAGCTAAATTTCACAGAATTAATTATCTTAAGAAACTGCTGTACTAAGAATATTATACATACAAAAAGATAGCCTTTTTCAATTAAAACTGACCCCAAACCAAACTTTTCAAGTTGAGGCTAGGATTCATTGTGATAATGGTGCTCTTCAGTCTGATTAAAGTGCTCTCTGGCTTGAATGGTATTTGGGTTGAAATATCTAGAAGTTTAGCATGACACATAGGTTAAGTAAGGATTTGCAGCCAACTTACTATTAGCTTGTGTTAAGTAAGCATTTTATGAATACAGGCGAATGATGAAAAGTGAGGGTGCATTTTTTTTTGTTTTATGTTTGTGTTAGTAAAATTTTAAATATAAACATTCTCTTGGTAAATCTATGCCAACACTGATCCACGACTAAACCTGTTATCTGACCTTCAGGTAGGTTATTAGATATTTTTCTTCATTTGCATAGCGTTTCTACTTTGATAGAATTATATAAATGGGCTATCAAAAATTCAAAGTACAGTATATTTCTCAGGTTGTGTCTGTGGTATATTACAGCTCTACTGCAACTGGTTATGTTAGCCATCACAATGAGTTTTTCTCTTGGACTACATTACCCTTCAATATTTTCCTTTCCAGTCAATTACAAATGTCAAATCACAGGTCATTTCTTTTCTCTACATTATAAGGAGGCACACACAACTACTTCACTTATCTTGTCCTTTCTCTTGTGAACGTACTGGACGATTACTCTTTCAGTCATATATTGACGACTGCTTTTCTTTCATACAATTATCTTTAATCAAGAGGGAAGACAATTGTTTGACTTGACTATTTTTACAATGCAACTACCTTCAAATCTAGTTATAATAACCTCTTGCTTTATGCCAGTTTCCTAAATGTGAATATACTTGTATGTAACGCCTCATTTATGTCAATAGTTTCCTATGTGCAATGTAAATTCACTCTATGAGATCAGTGTGGTTCGCAAAACATAACGAAAATTCTTATAATAAAATGTTGATGAAATGACTGAAATTACTAGAGCTACCATGGACCTGGAATGCATCTACCGCAAAGCAAGGGGCATTTTGGATGAAAAACACATTGCATTCAAAAGATTGTTATATGTTAGTCTCTTCAATTTTTGAAAATGCAGTACAAAAACTACTCTGTACAATAGATTACTGTACTGTAAATAGGATCAAAATTTAGTTTAATTGGGTAATTATTAAATATCTTATTCTACAAAAAATTATATTTTACAGTTGCTCCATAGTTCAGATACATACAAAACTGCCAAGAGCCACCAGAGTGAGATTCTGGAATAATAAAACATTAAACAATAAAAAGTGAACATTTATTTTTCTAAGCATGTAATAGTTAATGAAATACCTTTGGCAGTCACTTAAAGATATAATAATAACCCAATGATTTTGCAGTTTTTAAAAACTAACATTTTATGATGACTAAGAAAATGAAAAAGTTTTCCTATGGAGAATTAAACAAAATTTTTGCTTCTATAAAGATAACTCATCCATTCATAAACTTGCAAATTTTTCAATATGAACCTCTCTGACTTTTATTAAAACTTTTCTTTATCCATTTAACTTTCATACTTTATTTTCAATTGCAAGTTATATAATTCTACACTTAAATAATTCTAGAGTCAAGTTACGTAATTCTGTAATTACATAATTCTTTAGTCTAGTCTACATTGAAACAGAATGCTGTTAGTTTTAATATACAGTATTCAAAGATCACATATGCTTTAGTAACAACAAATAGGTATTCCCTAGGTAGTAGGTTGGTAAACAGCAACCGCCCAGGGAGGTACTACCGTACTGCCAAGTGAGTGTACAACGAAAACCTGTAATTGGTTTACATGATGGTAGGATTGCTGGTGTCTTTTGTCTGTCTCATAAACATGCAAGATTTCAGGTATGTCTTGTTACTTCTACTTGCACTTAGGTCACACTACACATACATGTACAAGCATATATATACACACCCCTCTAGGTATTCTTCTATTTTCTTTCTAGTTCTTGTTCTTGTTTATTTCCTCTTATCTCCATGGGGAAGTGGAACAGAATTCTTCCTCCGTAAGCCATGCGTGTTGTAAGAGGCGACTAAAATGCCGGGAGCAAGGGGCTAGTAACCCCTTCTCCTGTATATATTACTCAATGTAAAAGGAGAAACTTTTGTTTTTCCTTTTGGGCCACCCCGCCTTGGTGGGATACGGCCGGTGTGTTGAAAGAAAGAAAGAAGAAATAGGTATTCAATGAGTGGCAAAATTTAGCAAGGTTAGACCAAAACTGTGTCTGGTATTTCCTCTTCCAACAATTTTATTACATGTATTATTTGATTTCAGCATTATCTGGGGCACATTCATTATGATTATGCATTAATGCAATTAATACACAACACTACAAGATATTTTATTTAACTGTTGCCTTATGTTAGTACAAGCCATATGAAATCATCTTTAACTTTCTCTCACTTCTTATGTTTGAGTCTTTGCACATATGGTGCCTAAACCTCATGTTGCTGTACGTATGTGACAGGAGTCTATGAAACATGTCTAGGTATTTTCTAGTAAGCATGCAAAAGGTTACACCTCAAAGTTATGAAACCAATTATATAATTTTATTTTACTACTTTTTAACATGAGACTTAGATACATATCCTACCATGCAAAAGCTAATTAACTTTATTTTATTACAGCAATTTAAAACCAGAGGTACACACATTACTAGTCTTACTCAAGAACAAAACTGATGTTAGAGATTTCCAGAAAAAATTGAAAATCCAGAAACTTGCTGTCCTTATTTATTGTTAACTTTTAGTATAATATTACATCTTGCTACATTAAACTGAGACTTTAAATGTAACATGGCACCAACTGGTGGAGAGAGGTTACTGGCAACATAATAAAAAATAAAATTAGGCCTCAATGATCTAGTATGCCTGACAGAATACTGGAATACTAGATATAGTGTTAGCTGCATCAGGGGGAGAACAAAAATAAGATCAAATAAGGATTTTTTTTTTCAACAAGTCGGCCGTCTCCCACCAAGGCAGGGTGACCCAAAAAGAAAGAAAATCCCCAAAAAGAAAATACCTTCATCATCATTCAACACTTTCACCTCACTCATGCATAATCACTGTCTTTGCAGAGGCACCCAGATACAACAGTTTAGAAGCATATATAAAGATATATAACATACACAAATAACCCGCACATAGGAGAAAGAAACTCATGATGATATTTCGGTCTGACTTGGATCATTAACTTGTCACACGCAGTGTGTGACTAGTTAAACACTGTCATAAGTTTCTTTCTATGTGCAGTTATTTGTGTAAGAAAAACAATTTTTTGTTTATTTTAACACTGCATATATTAAGAGTTTATAGTGCAAGAATAGCAATAGTAAAACTAACATGGCTATCATAATGACCTACCTGCAGCAAGTCCAAGGAATCCATCTTTAGCTTGGACAAACATGTTGACATGGATGCAGCATAGTCGACCATCTTCGGTAAAACGCCATGTTTGTGTTAGTCTTCGGCGATCATCAGGTTTTCTCAACATGAGTGGAGTGTATTCTGTGGGCTGAGGTGCAGGGCCAGCTATATCTAAAACCTGTTGTTATAAAATAACGAAGTTTTAAAGGACAAAAAGTTAATTCATCATATCATATCATATATATAAAATTATGCAACTCTCTTCAAGCAACTGGCAATAAAAATGTGAATAAGCAATTATGTAATGAAAAGGGAAGACAACAAAATAGACCATAAGAATGTATTGTCATTTATGATAAAATGTTAAAAGCATTAGACAAAGAGAGGAAATAAAGGGTCACTGTTGAAAACTGATTGTCATTGGAAAATCATAATAAAGGGTCACACGTTAAAAAATAAAAGTTGTTCCCAATATGTTTTTATTGTACAGGCATTGTATATACAGTAAACACTCTTATGAAGCAACACTACATAGTGTAAACATGACTGAAAAAATGCATCCAACACCAGGGAGGTACTACCGTCCTGCCAAGTGAATGTAAAACCAAAGCCTGTAATTGTTTTACATGATGGTAGGATTGCTGGTGTTTTTTTTTTTTTTGTCTGTCTCATAAATATGCAAGATTACAGGTATGTCTTGCTACTTCTACTTACACTTAGGTCACACTACACATACATGTACACATTTATTTATACATACTCATCTGAGTTTTGATTTTATCTTAATAGTTCTTGTCTTATTACTTTTCCTTTTATATCCATGGGGAAGTGGAATAAGAATCTTTCCTCCATAAGCCATGCGTGTTGTAAAAGTCAACTAAAATGCTGGGAACAATGCGCTAGTAACCCCTTTTCCTGTAAAGATTACTAAAAAGAATAAGAAGAAGAAAATTGTCAAAGTGGGAAGTCTGAATGTGTGTGGATGTTGTGCAAATGATAAGAAAGAGATGATTGTGGATGTTATGAATCAGAAGAAGCTGCATGTCCTGGGTTTAAGTGAAACAAAGCTGAAGGGGGTGGGAGAGTTTCAGTGGAGAGGAATAAATGGGATTAGGTCAGGGGTTTCAAACAGAGTTAGAGCTAAAGAAGGAGTAGCAATAATGTTGAAGGATAAGATAAAGAAGGAAAAGAGGGACTATAAATGTATTAATTCAAGGATTATGTGGAGTAAAATAAAGGTTGGATGTGAAAAGTGGGTTATAGTAAGTGTATATGCACCTGGAGAAGAGAGAAGTGTTGAGGAGAGAGAGAGATTTTGGGAAATGTTGAGTGAATGTGTGGGGAGTTTTGAACCAAGTGTGAGAGTACTTGTGGTTGCGAATTTCAATGCTAAAGTGGGTAAAAATGTTAGGGAGGGAGTAGTAGGTAAATTTGGAGTGCCAGGGGTAAATGTAAATGGGGAGCCTTTAATTGAGGAAAGAGGAGTGATTGGTGGAATGATGAAGTAAAGGGTGTGATAAAAGAGAAAAATTTAGCTTATGAGATGTTTTTACAAAGCAGAAGCGTTATAAGAAGAGCAGAGTATATGGAGAGTAAAAGAAAGGTGAAGAGAGTGCAAAAGGAGAGCAGATGATAGAGTGGGAGAGGCACTGTCAAGAAATTTTAATGAAAATAAGAAAAAAATTTGGAGTGAGTTAAACAAGTTCAGAAAGCCTAGGGAAGGTATGGATTTGTCAGTTAAAAACAGAGTAGGGGAGTTAGTATATGGGGAGAGGGAGGTATTAGGTAGATGGCGAGAATATTTTGAGGAACTTTTAAATGTTGAGGAAGAAAGGGAGGAGGTAATTTCATGCACTGGCCAGAGAGGTATACCATCTTTTAAGAGTGAAGAAGAGCAGAATGTAAGTGTGGGGGAGGTACGTGAGGCATTATGTAGAATGAAAGGGGGTAAAGCAGCTGGAACTGATGGGATCATGACAGAAATGTTAAAAGGAGGGGGGGATATAGTGTTGGAGTGGTTGGTACTTTTGTTTAATAAATGTATGAAAGAGGGGAAGGTACCTAGGGATTGGCAAAGAGCATGTATAATCCCTTTATATTAAGGGAAGGGGGACAAAAGAGATTGTAAAAATTATAGAGGAATAAGTTTATAGAGTATACCAGGAAAAGCGTATGGTAGGGTTATTATTGAAAGAATTAGAGGTAAGACAGAATGTAGGATTGCGGATGACCAAGGAGGTTTCAGAGTGGGTAGGGGATGTGTAGATCAAGTGTTTACATTGAAGCATATATGTTGTTGAATTAGACACATATGCAACTCTTGAGAATCTTTATTGAGAAAAGGTTTTGCCACACTGTGTGGCGAAACGTTTCCTCAATAAAGATACCCAAGAGTTGCACGTGTCTAATTCAACAACATGTTGGTTCTCTGAACCATTCATCTGCAAGCATATATGTGAACAGTATTTAGATAAAGGTAGGGAAGTTTTTATTGCATTTATGGATTTAGAAAAGGCATATGAGTGCATAGGGGAGCAATGTGGCAGATGTTGCAAGTATATGGAATAGGTGGTAAGTTACTAAATGCTGTAAAGAGTTTTTATGAGGATAGTGAGGTTCAGGTTAGGGTGTGTAGAACAGAGGGAGACTACTTCCTGGTAAAAGTAGGTCTTAGACAGGGATGTGTAATGTCACCATGGTTGTTTAATATATTTATAGATGGGGTTGTAAAAGAAGTAAATGCTAGGGTGTTCGGGAGAGGGGTGGGATTAAATTATGGGGAATCAAATACAAAATGGGAATTGATACAGTTACTTTTTGCTGATGATACTGTGCTTATGGGAGATTCTAAAGAAAAATTGCAAAGGTTAGTGGATGAGTTTGGGAGTGTGTGTAAAGGTAGAAAGTTGAAAGTGAACATAGAAAAGAGTAAGGTGATGAGGGTATCGAATGATTTAGATAAAGAAAATTTGGTTATCAAATTGGGGAGGAGTATGGAAGAAGTGAATGTTTTCAGATACTCGGGAGTTGACGTGTCGGCGGATGGATTTATGAAGGATGAGGTTAATCATAGAATTGATGAAGGAAAAAAGGGGAGTGGTGCATTGAGGTATATGTGGAGTCAAAAAACGTTATCTATGGAGGCAAAGAAGGGAATGTATGAAAGAATAGTAGTACTAACACTCTTATATGGGTGTGACGCTTAGGTTGTGAATGCAGCAGTGAGGAGGCGGTTGGAGGCAATGGAGATGTCCTGTTTAAGGGCAATGTGTGGTGTAAATGTTATGCAGAAAATTCGGAGTGTGGAAATTAGGAGAAGGTGTGGAGTTAATAAAAGTATTAGTCAGAGGGCTGAAGAGGGGTTGTTATGGTGGGTTGGTCATTTAGAGAGAATGGATCAAAGTAGAATGACATGGAGAGTATTTAAATCTGTAGGAGAAGGAAGGCGGGGCAGGGGTCGTCCTCGAAAAGGTTGGAAGAAAGGGGTAAAGGAGGTTTTGTGGGCAAGGGGCTTGGACTTCCAGCAAGCGTGCGTGAGCGTGTTAGATAGGAGTGAATGGAGACGAATGGTACTTGGGACCTGACGATCTGTTGGAGTGTGAGCAGGGTAATATTTAGTGAAGGGATTCAGGGAAACCGGTTATTTTCATATAGTCGGACTTGAGTCCTGGAAATGGGAAGTACAATGCCTGCACTTTAAAGGAGGGATTTGGGATATTGGCAGTTTGGAGGGATATGTTGTGTATTTTTATATGTGTATGCTTCTAAACTGTTGTATTCTGAGCACCTCTGCAAAAACAGTGATAATGTGTGAGTGTGGTGAAAGTGTTGAATGATGATGAAAGTACTTTCTTTTTTGGGGATTTTCTTTCTTTTTTTGGATCACCCTGCCTCGGTGGGAGACGGCCGACTTGTTGAAAAAAAAAAAAATTATTATAATGATGGGAATTACTAAGTCTGTCACTATTACACACCATCTGGGAAATGGGAAGTAATTAGTTTTAAGAGGTTAGCTCTTCTACTTTGAATAAAGAGCCCTTCATTAGCATTAAGGAACCCTTGAAGGGTTCACCTTTATTTTTTATTCTTTATGTTTAGTTTCCACAAACTCCTTTCAGTATTTACTACATTTTCAGCCATTTTTTTCATTTTACTATTACCCCTTTTGTTTCTTCCTATTTAATTTTTCCTCTTTCTTAAGAAGCTTACAGAGGTAACTGAATAAAGTCTTTCAAAACATTTTAGCTCACAGCAGTAAGTAGTAACTGCTTCACTCATGTAATTCCAATATCAGCATTCACAACTGTTTAGTGAAATTTTTGGGAATTTCATAAAAAGTCTGAGATTTTTTTTTTTCAACAAACCAGCCGTATCCCACCGAGGCAGGATGGCCCAAAAAGAAAACGAAAGTTTCTCTTTCTAAATTTAGTAATTTACACAGGAGAAGGGGTTACTAGCCCCTTGCTCCTGGCATTTTAGTCGCCTCTTACAACACGCATAGCTTACGGAGGAAGAATTCTGTTCCACTTCCCCATGGAGATAAGAGGAAATAAACAAGAACAAGAACTAGTACGAAAATAGAAGAAAACCCAGAGGGGTGTGTATATACATGCTTGTACATGTATGTGTAGTGTGACCTAAGTGTAAGTAGAAGTAGCAAGATGTACCTGAAACCTTGCATGTTTATGAGACAGAAAAAAAAGACACCAGCAATCCTACCATCATGTAAAATTACAGGTTTCCGTTTTACACTCACTTGGCAGGATGGTAGTACCTTCCTGGGCAGTTGCTGTCTACCAACCTACTACCTAGGGCGAATATGATTCTTTGAGGAAATTCCACTGGACAAGGTGATACCTAGAATGAGCATGATGAAGAGCATAATAGTTAATTACTCTAACTCAGAAATCTGAATTACTGCAATTATAAATAAATTGACCATCTCCTGAAGATGATAAACTGATGACATGTAAATAAGCAACTAATTGCAATGACACTAAGTCTGTTACAGATAAAGACAAAATTACAAATTTACATTACTAATATAGAATATTTGTCCCAAATGTTGTGCATAACATGGGTTTTGCATCAGTACTGCACTCTTCATATTGTAAAACCATTCTGAAAACCATGCCCCAAGTTGTACCATACACATTACAAATTGTGTCTTTGCATGATTAACTTACAGGAATATAAAATTTTCAAAGACCTACCAGAATATTGCTATTTTTCCTAGATTTCTTGCTAGTGGGGTCATGAGGGGGAGACGATCCTTCATGCTGTAACATTCCTGTAGATGTCATTCGCCAGAGCTGTGATCTTTTTCCTATTTCTTTTCGAGCTAATTTTACCCTGGTTCCCTCTGGCACATCAAGGACCAACTGCTGGCATTCGACTGCTGTTGGATCAAAGGTTACATTCCCAGTCTCTGCACTCTCATTACTGCCAAACAATCTGAAATATTAAAATAACAATTTAAGGTTTAAAATAAATATGCTTAAGACAAACATGTTGTATAAATGATACATATCTTGCATGTAACTTTTCACAGAAAGTTTTGATACAAATAATGTCAAATTCTGAGTGTGTGCATATTATTGCCTCTTCTCTTTTATGAAGAGAAATATTATAAAATACCGACATGAAGGAAAAAGGCAGAAATACGTTATGTGATCCTTTATTGATGACATTCTGCCCCACACAGCATGGTTTATTGAGTAACAAATGGATGAACCTGGAGAGGAAGGATGAGCTCTATATAGGGAGCACTGTGAGATGAGTCAGGTTAAGTGTGTTGAAGCTGAAAATTTTTATAATAAAATTATTAATAAGCAAATAAAATCTTTTATGCTAATAAATGATTAACAAGCAAAAAAATTCTTACACAGTGGCTCATATACTGTGATAACTGATGAAGGAAAAAGAAACTACAGTACATTTTGAAATATTAAAGCAAATTTTCTGCAAGAAAAAACATAGGAGGCTCACAATGGGATATGTCATACCTTTTTTTTTTTTTTTATACACTGGCCATTTCCCTACTTATTATTCAACTCGATAGTCATTAACCAAATGTCATTCACAGGTGCCAGCTGATGTCTGAGAGACCTATCACAATCTAAGTGACATGATGAAACAAAGGCAGCTGGGGAAATGGAAACCATGTCCCACCATAGCCCCTATTGCAGAATTTTTTTTTTCTAATTCAAAATGCAGTTTTCCACTGTGGGGCATTGAAATTATACCAACAGAACCCAGAAAGAAGGCAGCTGTCAAGCAAGGTAGAATCCAAAGGGAGTACTAGGTAGGAATAGGTATGACAAAAATGTATTCCTCCCACTAAATGAGGAAAGGCTGTACAGAATTCTGTAACCAATAGACTTTGCCTGTTGTTTCTGAATGAAATGACCGAGAATATTGTCTATTTCCGAAATCCATTACATAAAGAGTTTACTGTACTGCACTTCACTGGTACATCTGCATAAGAAGTTCCTAAGTCCACTAGTGAATCCCTGTTTAGCAGAGGTCAATTTTGCCCATACACATACACAAATCAAGGGGCTAGTAACCCCTTCTCCTGTATACATTACTAAAGTTAAGAAGAGAAACTTTTGTTTTTATTTTTGGGCCACCCTGCCTTGGTGGGATACAGCCAGTTTGTTGAAAGAAGAAGACATACACAAATACGTACATAATAATATCAAACTGTAATTATAAATGATGAGTAACATGAGAAAAAGTTAGTTTTGTTTAAGTTAATTACACAAAATTCTATGCAGATGATGCATATACAGTGGAACCTCGACTTACGAGTGCCCCAACGTACGAGTTTTTTGAGTTATGAGCCGTCCCTCGGTTGATTTTTTGCTCTGAGTTACGAGCCAAAATCCAAGTTACGAGCGAGCTTCAGATATGCCGCCACTAGTTGGCACAGCGAACGCCACAACATCCGTTCAGCAGTGAACGTGTTTATCTTGCTGTGGAAGTGTCTCTCTTGTGTTGTGCTTGTTTTGTGCAGTTATTTTGCCAATTTCTTTTTTCTAACCATGGGTCTTAAGAAAGTAAATGCAAAGGACAGTGCTGAGAAGAAAAAAAGGATGATGTCCACTGAATTAAAGTATGAAATCATAGAAAAACACGAGCAAGGTGTGTGGGTAGCGGAGTTGGTGAGGCAGTACCAGCATAGTACTTCTACAATATGTACCATACTGAAGCAGAACAAACTCCTCCAATGAAGTGAAAAAATAAAACAAATTGTAGTAATTAAGTTCAGCGATAAAGTGTAGCAATAGGAGTGTAGCAAGTAAGTTAAGTGATTAAGCGATAGAAAAAGCATGAAACAAAATGAACTCCTCCAATCTCCTCTGCCTGTCTTTGTTGCTGTTGTTATTGGGGTTTATAGGGCCACTGACAGCACACGCCACTCTGCCTATCTTTTCCACCCTGCACCTCCGCCAGCATCTGTTCTCCAAGGTAAATGCATACACTTTATAAAACCAATTAATTTTTTTTACATTATGTTTTATTATGTTTTTAAACAATATTTATTATTTATAAATACACTGTTTCAGTGTTTTCCTCATGAAACTAGAGATCTAGTGCAGTTCGCCTCACAAACACTCCATTTTCTCCTATAATAAGACCTCAGAAGGGAAAGCACGGTAAGATATGGTCAGAGCAATAATTATTTTTACCTCGGGAGTGGCCACCACCACTCGTCACATAATGACATATTTTATTCATTCTAGGGTATATATCCTGTTTCTATGTTATTTATATTGTTTCTTATGTCATATTAGATTAACTATGATAGATAAACAAGCCGTAGAGTTGATATTAGCGTCGTATTGAAGAATTTTCTCCTGCCTCCTGAGAACAGGAATTCCGCTGGAACAGATTAATGGCATTTCAGTTAATTTCAATGAGGAAAACTGATTTGATATACGAGCAAATTGAATTACGAGCTAGATCACGGAACGGATTAAACTCGTAAGTCAAGGTACCACTGTATTACTAATTTATATTCTAAGTCATACACAAGAGGGAAAGCACTAAGACAAACAATAAATTGGCTGGTAAAACTGTACAGCAAACATGTAATATGTAGATTAAGCTAATGTGTATTTACTTAAGATTTAAACATATATACTTGCACAACATTTCTGAAAATATATAATGATCTTAATGTCTTCCTTTATAAATTAATGTACCATAAATATTTCGGTTTCCAGAGGTTGTGGTATTTATTACATTACCCCAGAGATCACCTACCATTATTACAGGAGATTACAACACTGATTTATATGAACCTGTCAACCCACATATCTCAGGTACTATCCAAGGAGGGCAAGGAGACATGCCACCCTATCTAACAATAGACACATCAAGGTTCCATCCAGGAAAGTAGCCTACATCTGAACACCAAATGGTACAGGAAGCCTCACCTGACCAGCAAATAACTCCCTCCCTCTCTCCTCTGTGAGGAGAATGTCAAACCCAGGTGAATGTCAAACCCAAAACAAGTACAACAGGCTTAGCTCCTCATGGCAGATTCACGGTTAGCTCACCAGACAGACCTGATACAAAGGCTCTCAACAAGAGATGTACAGAATCCACCTAGGCAAAGCCATATCCTTAGGTGATGAACAGGATTTGGTAAGTGCAACAGGGAAGAGCTAGTAGCTATACTCGAGCCTGGAACAACGCAAGGCCACACACAGGCAGAGTATAGTCTGTTGATTTGTCCCCTAAGAACAGTAAAGAAATACCTTAAGAATATCTAGCACCTGCTGAGAATCTACTTTGAGCTTCTTTACATAAGAGGCCCATCATCATGACTTAAAAGATCATCCCTAAAAATGTTACTTGCTGCTCAAGGTAAAAAAAAATAACCATGGAGCAACACATGGAAAAAAGTGTGTGCAACCTAGGACTGAGTAAAATGAACATCCAGTCTTCCAAGTGGAAAACTGGTAATCATTAGAAGCAGCCCACTCTGTGTTGTTGTCCTGTGCCACCTGAAGTCAGTGACAGGCTGTCCCAGGAGTAGAAGCTGAGCAGTTCACTGCAAGATTTTCCACATATAAAGAGGTTTTTGACTTCAACATGAACATAGTCTACATCACCCATGGCTACATTAAAACACGATACTCAAAATGCTGTTCTACAGGATCCCATCCTCCAAACTAAACTTCTGTGAGTAGCATGAACCAACCCTCATCTTGAATGATATGTTAGTCAAAAACTGTCTGAGAAATCATGTCAGCCCTGCAGTCAAAGAATCTGGAGACAGAAAAGAATGCCAACCCTCTATGTTATGAGCTTTCTCAAGGAGAAGAAAGATGCTGAAGTATGAACTAGTCTGGAAAAACCCTCCTGGATGTCACAAGCTAGCCAAACCAAGGTTTCAGATGTCAGCCAGAGCTTGTGAAAGGCAAACTGCACCAAAGAGATGTAGCCTTTCATCTCCAAGAACCAGACCATCCAAATATTCATCTTCCTCTCCAACAACTTGTAGATGTAGTTTGCAGCTTCCTTGGAGTCCTGATCTGAATTTTGAATTTGTTCCTTCCATATCTGAGCAGTTGGAATTTGTCACTATTTCTACAATCCAATGGAACACTTTGCTATTATCTTACTGTAAATTTTCCATATACATTAATTTACAATAAAAATTATTGTTATTAGTTATTTTTATTATTATTATTTTTGTATTGTCCTCATAGGATATGAAGCTGTTATTAGTAGTTTTTATCTACTTCTGCTAAGAAGATAAGAAACAGTCAAGGTGTCAGATCTTTTTATTTTGCTAGGGAAAGATTTTCCTTTGCTTACTGCATCTCTTGTGTTCTATTTGTTAGAAAATTAAACATCCATTTTCCTACTTTTATACCCAGAGACCTTATTTGATGAGCTATCACTCCATGTTTGCATTTGTCAAATGCCTTAATGAAGTTCATGTGGGCCTCATCTGCATTTTGGTTTTCTTCCAAGGCTTCCATAATTTTGTTATAATGACTTAACATTGTGACATACATGAAATTTCTCACTAAATCCATGAGTTGGGTTGTGTACTTCATACTTTTCAATAAAATTTGTAGCATGGCACTTCACCACCCTTTCAAAGTTTTAGAGGCAATATTATCCTTCCCATGGGAAGTGGAACAGAATTCTTCCATGTAAGCCATGCTGTTTTAAAGGGACTGAAGGCCAGAAGCAAGGGGGTAAAACCCCCTTTTCCTGTATACTTACAAATTTAAAAAAAGAAATTTTTTTTTTCTTTTTTTGGGCCCCCTGCTTCAGTGGTTTGGGTGGTTTGCTGAAAAAGAAGAAAAAGTTCATTAATTATTTTTGCCTAGCTTACTGCCTCTTTGTCCCAAAAGCTAGCTTAAATTTTTAAGGGGTTGGAATTTCACCTAAATTTAAACTCTTTCTCCAGAAATGCGAAACCCAGAACAATTCTTTATAAAAAATAATTCCTAATCAGGCCCAGGTGCACGTGTGATTTTGTTTTTTTATATCTTTTTTAAATTTTTGGGGATTTGTGCTCATGCACATATATGATTTTAAAGCAAACAAGGTAAAAAATATTTTACGGAAAAGGGCCTTTTTAAAAAAGTGCATCCCAATCAGGAAAAAAATGAAGCTGAATACAGTGAAAGGAGGCAGGAGGAAAGAGGAGTGATTGGTGGAATGATGAAGTAAAGGGTGTGATAAAAGAGAAAAAGGTAGCTTATGAGAGGTTTTTACAAAACAGAAGTGTTATAAGAAGAGTAGAGTATATGGAGAGTAAAAGAAAGGTAAAGAGAGTGGTGAGAGAGTGCAAAAGGAGAGCAGATGATAGAGTGGGAGAGGCACTGTCACGAAATTTTAATGAAAATAAGAAAAAATTTTGGAGTGAGTTAAACAAGTTAAGAAAGCCTAGGGAAAGTATGGATTTGTCAGTTAAAAACAGAGTAGGGGAGTTAGTTGATGGGGAGATGGAGGTATTAGGTAGATGGCGAGAATATTTTGAGGAACTTTTAAATGTGAAGGAAGAAAGAGAGGCAGTAATTTCATGCACTGGTCAGGGAGGTATACCATCTTTTAGGAGTGAAGAAGAGCAGAATGTAAGTGTGGGGGAGGTACATGAGGCATTACGGAGAATGAAAGGGGGTAAAGCAGCTGGAACTGATGGGATCATGACAGAAATGTTAAAAGCAGGGGGGGATATAGTGTTGGAGTGGTTGGTACTTTGTTTAATAAATGTATGAAGGGGGGGAGGTACCTTGGATTGGCGGAGAGCATGTATAGTCCCTTTATATAAAGGGAAAGGGGACAAAAGAGACTGTAAAAATTATAGAGGAATAAGTTTACTGAGTATACCAGGAAAAGTGTACGGTAGGGTTATAATTGAAAGAATTAGAGGCAAGACAGAATGTAGGATTGCGGATGACCAAGGAGGTTTCAGAGTGGGTAGGGGATGTGTAGATCAAGTGTTTACATTGAAGCATATATGTGAACAGTATTTAGATAAAGGTAGGGAAGTTTTTATTGCATTTATGGATTTAGAAAAGGCATATGATAGAGTGGATAGAGGAGCAATGTGGCAGATGTTGCAAGTATATGGAATAGGTGGTAAGTTATTAAATGCTGTAAAGAGTTTTTATGAGGATAGTGAGGCTCAGGTTAGGGTGTGTAGAAGAGAGAGAGACTACTTCCCGGTAAAGGTAGGTCTTAGACAGGGATGTGTAATGCCACCATGGTTGTTTAATATATTTATAGATGGGGTTGTAAAGGAAGTAAATGCTAGGGTGTTCGGGAGAGGGGTGGGATTAAATTTTGGGGAATCAAATTCAAAATGGGAATTGACACAGTTACTTTTTGCTGATGATACTGTGCTTATGGGAGACTCTAAAGAAAAATTGCAAAGGTTAGTGGATGAGTTTGGGAATGTGTGTAAAGGTAGAAAGTTGAAAGTGAACATAGAAAAGAGTAAGGTGATGAGGGTATCAAATGATTTAGATAAAGAAAAATTGGATATCAAATTGGGGAGGAGGAGTATGGAAGAAGTGAATGTTTTCAGATACTTGGGAGTTGACGTGTCGGCGGATGGATTTATGAAGGATGAGGTTAATCATAGAATTGATGAGGTAAAAAAGGCGAGTGGTGAGTTGAGGTATATGTGGAGTCAAAAAACGTTATCTATGGAGGCAAAGAAGGGAATGTATGAAAGTATAGTAGTACCAACACTCTTATATGGGTGTGAAGCACCAAGGAGACGGTTGGAGGCAGTGGAGATGTCCTGTTTAAGGGCAATGTGTGGTGTAAATATTATGCAGAAAATTCGGAGTGTGGAAATTAGGAAAAGGTGTGGAGTTAATAAAAGTATTAGTCAGAAGGCAGAAGAGGGGTTGTTGAGGTGGTTTGGTCATTTAGAGAGAATGGATCAAAGTAGAATGACATGGAAAGCATATAAATCTATAGGGGAAGGAAGGCGGGGTAGGGGTCGTCCTCGAAAGGGTTGGAGAGAGGGGGTAAAGGAGGTTTTGTGGGCAAGGGGCTTGGACTTCCAGCAAGCGTGCGTGAGCGTGTTAGATAGGAGTGAATGGAGACGAATGGTACTTGGGACCTGACGATCTGTTGGAGTGTGAGCAGGGTAATAATTAGTGAAGGGATTCAGGGAAACCGGTTATTTTCATGTAGTCCTGGAAATGGGAAGGACAATGCCTGCACTTTAAAGGAGGGGTTTGGGATATTGGCAGTTTGAAGGGATATGTTGTGTATCTTTATATGTGTATGCTTCTAAACTATTGTATTCTGAGCACCTCTGCAAAAACAGTGATAATGTGTGAGTGTGGTGAAAGTGTTGAATGATGATGAAATTATTTTCTTTTTGGGGATTTTCTTTCTTTTTTGGGTCACCCTGCCTCGGTGGGAGACGGCCGACTTGTTGAGAGAAGAAAAAAAAAAAAAAGTGGTGACAGATGGCTGGAGTTTGCTCGAAGAGTAGTAGTAAACATCACAACCAATGGAAATGTTAGACAACACGCATACATATCACACACCCTCCAACTGTTTAATAACAGATTCAAAACGTATACAATACTAATTTAAAAAAATAAGTGGTGCAAAGCTCTATGTATTTGCATACCAGACTGAATCAAATAAAAAATGTAAGCAACGACCAGTTTAATAATGTTTATTGATATGATCAAGAAAACTTTGGCAAAGTTCTGCCAACACTGTAAAGCACTAAATGTTATGTGATAAGCCATGAATGCACAGCCAATAGCAGGCAAGGGTGAGGTAACATACCAAGATACTTTCTGAATACTTACATGTTTAATGGCAATCTTCTTCCAAGGATATAAAAAATTCCTGTTAGTCGAAAGGGTTTTGCAGAAAAGTATGCTGCACAAAAATATAAAGTATTTATTGTATTTATAATATGGAACACTGTGAGCAAATAGAGTAGGCAACATTCAAGCAACCAGAAGTATAAAGTGCATTTGTCAAAAAGCTACAAAATCCATCCTTTATATTATCCATACCAGTGAAATCTATCAATATAATAATAAATATCTATTGTACTTACTGTTGGAATGTTCCAGTAAAAGCAATGTAGATAAAATTTTCGTAAGTGAGTGTTGCTCCTTTGCCAAGAACATTCATGTTGTAAGTAGCTGATGTTCCACCAGGAGCAATACACGTAAGATAGGGCTGTAAGGTGACTTCGTCCCATGCATATGCTACACATGTTCGAGGCTTAACTATTGTTCTTAAGCGTTCCTCCTGTGTGCCTGTCTAGAAAAAGAAAAGATACTGTAATTACATTTTAGTATCAACATAGTATCATACGTATTTTAGTATCATACGTAGAGAACTGTATACTTAAAAAAATATAGTAGGGCCACTTTACAGCATTTTGCCGTATGGCATTCTGCTAATACAATGATTTCAAATTATGACCAAAATTTGCTATACGGCAAGCGGTCTTTCAAATACAGCACACCCCACCCGGTTTGTTTACATACTACGTGAGCACATGTCTCTATTATGTTTGGAAATTTTCTAAAATTTCAAGTGTTTTCAAGTTATTGCATATTTTATAAACACACTGATAATTATACTTATGTGTACCTATACCTAAATATACTTACACACTATGCTGGCATGCAGGTACACATTAAAATCACTAAGAGTCTCACTATTCGACACCATGTAGTAATCTCTTGGGCGCTTTAATTAAATGTTGTATATTACGTTAATACTGCAGACATTTCCATTAGTCCACCTATGATATTTTTTTCAAAATTATATAATAAAAATGCTACGTAACATATAAACATGATACATACATCCACAGTAAAACAAATTGACAAATATGAAATCTGTTTACCAAACGGTTGGTAGGTGTCAGAAGAATTACGTTTTCTCTAGTCAAACACCAGTTACCTAACTGTAGAAAAATATTCCTTTCGTATGCCTTCTATCTATAGCTATTCATGACCCCTGTGGGTTTAGTGCTAATTTGTAATAATAATAATAATAGTCACTCTGAATAAGTAAGCAAGTTTATTCAGGTATACACAAATACAGTTACATAGATTATCATACATAGCAGCATATGTGTAGGGAACCCAGGATAACCCAAAAATGTCAGAGTAAGGCGCATTAAATGTCGTATAAAATGTTAATATAGACATTTTGCTTAATCCATCTATGATATTTTTTTCAAAATTATATAATGAACATGCAATGTAACATATAAACATTATAAATATACCCACAGTAGAATAAACTAACATAAATAGGAGATGTTTTTCTAGTCGGCTTGCGGAGTGAACAAAAAACCACACGTGTCCGGCTGGTTTGTTTACATAACTCGCCCTGTCATATACTCTCACACACACCACACACACACACAAAACACACACACACACACACACACACACACACACATTCACAACACACACTCACTCACTCACTCACTCACTCCCTCTCTCTCTCTCCTCACTCACTCTCTCTCCCTCTCTCTCTCTCTTTTTTTTTTTTTTTTTTTTTTACACAGGGTTTGACAAGGTTAAGGATCCCTAGCTTTATTGACAGCTATTTACAGGTTAAGGATTCCTAACTTTATTGGCAAGCTAAGAGCTGTTACCTACATCAGCTCATTTGAAAGCATTTTTATTGTTATGAGACATACAAGTAGGGAACAGGATGAAGTTGGAGCAATCTGTGGGCCAGCATTTTCATTTGATCAACTGACGTTATCTCGTTGACATCATTATGCTGTACGAATGTGTTCCATACTCGAGTCATCCTGGGTATGTATGATCTCAGATGGAGTGATGTACTGGAGAAGGGTACAGCCAGAGTGAAGTTGCTGCTTTCTGCCCGTCTTGTGGCATAAAAGCTTGTTTCACTCCCTCTCTCTCTCTCTCTCCCTCCCTCTCTCTCTCTCTCTCCCTCCCTCTCTCTCTCTCTCTCCCTCCCTCTCTCTCTCTCTCCCTCCCTCTCTCTCCCTCCCTCTCTCTCTCTCCCTCCCTCCCTCTCCCTCCCCCTCTCACTCTCCCTCTCTCCCTCCCTCTCTCTCTCTCCCCTCTCTCTCTCTCTTCTCTCTCACTCACACTCACTCTCCCTCTCTCTCTCCTTCTCTCTCTCTCCCTCCCTCCCTCCCTCCCCTCTCTCTCTCTCTCTCCCTCCCTCCTCTCTTCTCTTCTCTCTCCCTCCTCTCTCTCCCCTCTCCCCTCCCTCCCTCTCTCTCTCTCTCTCCCTCCCTCTCTCTCTCTCCCCCCCTCTCTCTCTCTCCCTCCCTCTCTCTCCCTCCCTCTCTCTCTCCCCTCCCTCTCTCTCTCTCTCCCTCCCCTCTCTCTCTCTCTCCCTCCCTCCCTCTCTTCTCCCTCCCTCTCTCTCTCTCCCTCCCTCCCTCTCTCTCTCCTCCCTCCCTCTCCTCTTCCCTCCCTCCCTTCTCTCCCTCCTCCCTCTCTCTCCCTCCCTCCTCTCTCTCTCCCCCCCCTCTCTCTCTCCCTCCCTCTCTCTCTCTCTCTCTTCCTCCCTCTCTCTCTCATTCTCCCCCCTCCCTCCCTCTCTCTCTCCCCCTTCCTCCCTCTCTCTCCCCCCCCTCCCTCTCTCTCTCCCCCTCCCTCCCTGTCTCTCCCTCCCTCCCTCTCCCTCCCCCCTCTCCCTCCCCCCTCTCCCTCCCTCCCTCCTCTCCCTCTCCCTCCCTCCCTCTCCCTCCCCCTCCCTCCCTCCCTTCCTCTCCCTCTCAATAAATAAAACACACTATGCAAAGAAATATGGATTCCCTAAATACATGATGCTCATTTAAAACTCAGATTCATAATCATTCAAATGAGAATTATTACAAATACAAATTTTATAATGCAAACTGAATGATAAATTATTAAAAAAAAAAAAAAAATCTTACCTGATAGTAAGTGATTGGAACCTCTGAGAAATTGTCAATACGAAAAGGTGGTGGAAGAGATTCTGCGTCAGTGAAGACAATGAAATATGTGGCCTCGTTGATGATCACTTCGACACGCATGAAGAAACAATGGCCACTGTTATCCCTGTTAAAAAAAAAATTATTTCATAATTTTAACAGAAAAATACATTTCTCTTATTGTGAAAGAAAAAAGTGCTCATACATAACTCATACTACATTTATTTCTATTGGGTTTACAAATGACATATTGCAAATTATAGATGCTAATATTAAAGATGGAAAGTGGGTTGACTGATTTGGTTGTATTAGAGAGTGAGAAGCAGAATTAAGAAAAGTTAATATTTGTAACAATAGATCGTAAAGTATAAATATTTAAAAACAGGATTACGTGTATTCACTTAGTTATTTCCTGTAACCGTAACTTTATTGCAAAAATTCAACCAAAAACGTACAACATATTTTATCTTTCTGTACATAGTCATTCCAGCCCATGAATTACTCTCAATGCTTTATTTTTCTCAACACAACAGCCATCTCTGAGGCAGGGTGACCCAAAAAAGAAGAAACACGAAGTTTTCTTCTTTTCACATTTAGTAATTTATACAGGAGAAGGGGTTACTAGCCCCTTGCTCCTGGCATATTAGTCACCTCTTATGACATGCATGGTTTATGGAGGAATGATTCTTCTCCACTTTCCTATGGAGTACTCTCAATACTTCAATATGCATATTTAATTCTTTTGCTGAAGGGTGTTGAAGACTTAATCAGTCTTCTCTTAGCGCATTTACAGTCTGTGTTTTTCATTGGAGGTATTTTGCATCGGCTGCCAATCCTTTTGCTTTCATAGGCGATTTTGGTATGAAAATTTAAGACCAATGCTTCTAGGTTCCTCGTTTAAATTATGATCATACTTTATTGCCCACTTTCCATGGAGTACAGCTAAAGGGATTTTAAGCCTTCCTCATAATGTAAATATTTGACTGAATTTATATTCTCTAACTCCAATTTTACATACTTTTAAAGGCACTATTAGGATACAGCCATGGTCCACCCTAGAGAGAACAAGTGACATAAGGGGTATCATCACTGACTTGGCATTTCTTGTGTTGAAGTTTCCCATTATTTAGCTTATCATTTTTCTTGAAGCTGTGAAAATAACATTGTTGTGATACTTGAAAGTGAGATCTTCAGACATTATCACTCCCAAGTTTCTCACATTAAACTTCTGATTTATTGTGTGGTTCACGCTTATTTTATACTCTGCTCCAGTTTTTATTTTCTTGTTTATTCATTTCAGGCTAACTGAAATTTGTTCTCATTGAGTATTACTTTAAATTGCTGGCAGTGGGCTACTAGAAGACTTAGTTTATATTAGCTAGGAGGTTTGAGGTTTACTCAATGGATACTGCTCTTACATAAATTCTAGTATTTTCTGAAAAGGATGATACAGTTATATGATTTATGTTTCTGTCATGTTGTATATAAAAATGAGAAAGAGCATTGGCAAGAGTGCAATGTCACATGTCTCAATGATTGCTTTGTTCTTATTGAACAGCAGCCATCAATTGTATGGCTGACTTTCGTAGAATCCTGTAGATCTTCTTAGGTCTACTAACATAAGCATGAATGGGCAGTTATTTCCATTATTTCTTTTTCCCTATAAATGGATTCCATTTAGCTTTGGAGTAGCCACTGGGCATGTCATAATGAAAACTGCTACAAGGTACTGTACAACAAATATAACCAACCTGATATTGAGGTAGAAAGAATCAATCTTCTCAATGAAAAAGCCACCAGACCAATAACATCCTGGAATGTCTCGCAGGCAGATACACAAGAGTTGATCCATGTCAAGACGGGGCCAATGGAAGGGAAGCCAGCAGCCTGGGATAGCATGTAACCAGGTAGACTGGGCACGTGGGTCAGTCTGAATTCAGAGAAAATAAATGACGTATAATTTGTTGCATTTTTATTTATACAGAAATACAAATAAATACATACGAACTTTTTTTTTTTTAACATGTTGGCCGTTTCCCACCAAGGCAGGGTGACCCAAAAAGAAAAAAAAATTTATCATCATTCAGCACTTTCACTATCACTCATACATAATCACTGTCTTTGCAGAGGCGCTCAGACATGACAGCTTAGACATCCTTCCAAACTGCCAATACCCTAACCCCCTCCTTTAAAGTGCAGGAATTGTACTTCCCATTTCCAGGACTCTAGTCCGGCTAACCAGTTTCCCTAAATCCTTTCACAAAATATTACCCTGCTCACACTCCAACAGCTCATCAGGTCCCAAAAACCATCTGTCTCCATTCACTCATACATGCTTGTTGAAAGTCCAAGCCCCTTGCCCACAAAACCTCCTTTACCCCCTCCCTCTGACCTTTTTGGGGACGACTCCTACCCCTCCTTCCTTCCCCAATAGATTTATATGCTCTCCAAATCAATGTGACAAGTCAGTGGTTGTCTTCTACCAAGGTAGGGCAACCCAAAACAGGGAACACATTCGCCAAAATTCATTCAATTGTGGGACCAAGAACTAATGCTGAATTCCCTCCCAGTCCCTGCGAACTCAAATAAGTACATAATTATAAACAGGTAATACTCACACAACACACTTACAGATGGGAGATTACAATTATTCAAAAATAGTCTGGATGAAGACTATAGAGGAAGATGGGGTCACCTTACTCCCCTCCAAATTCTTGTCTTCGATTAAGCCAAAGCATCTGGTGTTACTCTCCCCCTAACAAGACATTATCGACCACTCATACATAGATCATTAAAAATAAGTTATATACACAATTCAATTATGAACTGGAGAGTAAGATTACAGTAGAAGTCTGTGATCTAACAATGATGAAGGGAGTTAAATTTAGTCAGCAGCTATCTCCACAACTCCTGGACATGGCTTGAGACAGTGGCTGTCTATGGCCTTTTAAATCCCACCACTAAGAATCAAGCTGATGATGCCTACTATATACATGCCAGATAAAACTTACCACATCCAAACCTAGTCCAGCAGATCAACATTAACTCTTCCTCCTGCGCTCTTTAACGAAAAGCTTCAGATAGCTAATGACTAAACAAATGTAAGGCAAGATAAATTGTACTTTTTTTTTTTTTTTTAACAAGTCGGCCATCTCCCACTGAGGCAGGGTGCTTATTTGACATTTTCAGAGGTACATGGCATGCAACCCTATTTTTTCCATACATTCTTTAAGTATGTTAACACCAAGTTTGATTACATGCCAACTTTCAGGAACATAACCCACCCTCTAACTGATGGTCTACTGGGAGATGGCCGACATGTTGAAAAAAAAAAATAAAAAAATGAAACAAAGATTAAATAACAAAGAATAATTTAACACCAGGTATGGAGAAATCAGGAAACAGTAAGAAAAAGGTTAGAAGCAATACAGTAATTAAAAAACCAAATTACTTATAAATAATTAAAAAACAAGAATGAATACAAAAATGTAAGGAGAAAACGAAGACACTTATGGATATATGACTGTGATTTTACAATGAGTGCGAATGATGGTGAAAAGGGTTTCTTTCCTTGGGTCACCCTGCCTTGGTGGGAGATGGCTAGTGTGTTGAAAAAAAGAAAATATTATGTTGACTTACAAATGAAGTTGTGAAGCACTTTTGGGCAATAATTAACTCATGTGAAGATCTATTTTCAATCTGGAACCTGGGTGAAAACGTGACCACATAAGTATCTCTGTAACGGCCACGACCTGGTCTCACATCGATACCAACAATATAAACGTGGTCAGGACGGGTATCAGGAGGGCTTACTCTTAGTCGCCTCACCCACGTTCCTTGAGTCAAGGGCAGTTTGTGGCAGAACTATAAAAGAATAAGATGAAGTAAATTAAACACAATCAAATATACAAGCATGAAAAGCTCTAAAAAGATTAAATTTGCTAACCCAGGCCATTATAAAATAGTAGTAAATAGTTTACTTATAGTATTACAGTAATTGAAAGTAAAGCTGTGGAACTGCTTTTATTAACAAATAAAGTTAAGCAATCCTAATGACTTAAACCTCAAGACAGTTGCAAAGGGGCAAAAAAGGATAGTGTAATACATCCATTTTCCTATGGACAAAGAGGTGCTAACATTTTTTGTTTTCAGAAGTAAATCTTTTGCTTCTGATGAAGTAAATTAGTTGCAGTTTTCTTAAATCATTCAAAAATAGAAAATAAAGATTACCTCAATTAAGATTTCTTGAAACTGTATACTTCAGCAAAGAAAAATTTAATAACATTCTTACCTGTGGACGTGAATCGGGATGCAACTGGCTACCAACTCGAGAAATCAGCATGGGACTGGCATCACGATCAGTAAAAGAAAAGAGTAATGGGGCTGCACAGCGAGCAACTTCATGTTCCTTGTCCTGGCCTATATGAAAAGTAAAAATAATTAGAGTAAGCTAATGCACTGATTTTTTTTTTTTCAAAGATATCATTAAACATGTTAGACAGGAGTTATTGGAAACAAGTGGTTTTTAATGGCTGTGCTGTTGGAGTGTGAGCAAAGTAATATTTATGAAGAGATTTAGAAAAACAAATTAGCCAAACTAGAGTCCTGGAGGTGAAAAGGGCAGTGCCTGTGCTCAAAGAGGGATGGCAATTGGTTTTTAATTTTTTTATTAACACATTGGCCATTTCCCACCAAGGCAGGGTGGTCTGAAAAAGAAAAACTTTCATCATTCACTCCATTGGTATATAGAAAGAGTCTCATAAGAATCACTCTTAGCTTATCATGAGGTATCATTCATGAATATAAAGTGTGACTATTACTGAGGCAAGGAATAATTACTTCCTGTAGGCATGACTTAAAGAATGGAAAAGTGCATGAAAACAAAATATTTATTTATAAAATAACAAGTAATGGACATACCAGCAGCATCAGATGATACTCCTTCCTGTTTGAAGATAAGAGGCAGGCCTGTTTTGTTGATCAACCAGTATCCTGCATACACAATCACCTGAAAAAAAAAAAAAAAAAAAAAAAAAGCCTACAAACTATAGTTTAATAGGGAGAAGCAAGAACATGGTAAGTTTTTAGAGATTCTGGTAACAAGTACTGATAAGTCAAATGGCTTTTAAAACTGTAAACAAACAAGCAACAAAACAACTTTATAAAACAAATGAACATGTGAACATACACAAAATAGGTAAAATACCAAAATATATGTATATGATTGTGAAACTTTCACTGTCCATTCAAATTTCAACTTGTGAGTGAATTGAATTGAGGCAGAAGAGTGTTTCTCCACTCAAAACTTCCTCCTTTGGTAGGTTAGGTCAGGTTCCTTAGGTTTCAATGTTTATGAGTGTGGGCAGGGCTTGCTAGTAGATATATAATTTTCTGGCCATGGAAGAAGTGATTAGGTTTGACATGTGATTAAGCAATAGCAGTGGTGAAGATTAATCATGTAGCAAACTCTGTCAGTTATGATGGAAGTGTGCTATAAATAGAAAATCTTCTTCTGAATGAAGATCCCATAATATTGCTGTGGTTGATAAGTTTAATTAGATCAAAGGTATATAATACTAACAAGTGGAAGAAGGCAACACCTGAGTATCTTTATTTGAGAGTTGTTTTGTCCATCAGGGGGCTTATCAATTTAATACAGAGACTTAAGAAAGGATGTAGGTAATAGGTTGGTAGACAGCAACCACCCAGGGAGGTGTACTACCATCCTGCCAAGTGAGTGTAAAACAGAAACCTGTTAAGAAATCAATATACAGTAAACCGTCGTTTAACACGATTTTCTTTGCACATTTTGGCCATAGCACGACTGAAGAATTGCGGCATATTTTTGTTTAACACTTCATAAAATTGTTTAACACAGTTGCAGGAGGGGAAAAGATTTTTGAGAACGAGGTCGCCCACGGGGTGGGATGGACTACAGCAATCCCCTGCCAGCATCAGCCAACCCCTGCCAGCATCAGCCATCCCCTGCCAGCATCAGCCACCTCCACTCTCAATGACTTGACTGATTTGACTGACTTACTGAATGAATGACTTGACTAACTTACTGACTTGACTGACTTACTGACTTGACTTAACCCTTTCAGGGTCGAGAGGGCCTCTCCTAAACTTGTTCTCAGGGTCAAAAAATTTTTGGAAAAAAAAAAAAAAAAAAAATTATTTTTTCTGATGAAATGATAGAGAATCTTTTCCCGATCATAATGACACCAAAAGTATGAAATTTGATGGAAAACTTATGGAATTATGCTCTCCTGAAGTTAGCGGTCTCGACAATGTTGACGGATCAGGGATTTCGCCCACTTTGTTTTCAGCCGATTTCAGTGTACTAGTCAACAAAAATCATACCTATTTCACTAGAACTCCATCTTTTCTATCGAATGAGTACAAGAAACCACCCATTTACCGATTTCAAGTATCCAATAAAGTGGTCAGAAATTGGCAATTTTGCCAATTTCACACAAATTTCAGAAGATGCCAATTTCTAAATAGGGTCCAGAATAAGCAAGACAGACATTCCTGGCACTAAAATAACATTTTCTCTGTTCATCAGTCACATCCCCAGGCCCCTCTTACATCTCTTTTGCTTTCCACTTTGAATTTTTATTCTCACAAAAAATAGAAGATTTACTGTCATGCAGACTACTGCATCAGTGTAGAAATGGTATATATAATATCAGTGCACTTGTGAAAGAATATTAGACTCACCAGTTGACATGTATTGGAAGCTTGGCATGATTTGTAACTTTTGAAATTTGGTAAAAATCGAACATTTCTGCTAATTTGAGCTCAATTTCAAGGTACTTTTCATTATGAAACCATTCAAAATCATCTCAATTTCTGTAATATGTGTTCCATTCTATAAAATGAGACCAGGAAAACTAGAATACAACCATAAATACCATACGAAAATACACTGCAAAGTCGCTGTTTTAAACCAAAAACACAGTCGGAGTTTTTTTTCTCCTCATTATGCAGTGTGCTGCAAGTTTTTTTTATACTGTGCATACTGACCATATAGACCCATTCTTTCATATGTAGGCCTAACAGCTTTCTCTCACTAGATTTGAAGGCGCTAGAATTTAGGCGTTCTAGTACGTCAATAACCCTACTGCATAAGCCGTACTAGTACGTCGGAGACCCTGAAAGGGTTAATGGCTTACTGACTGACTTGAGTGACTTACTGAATGACATGACTTGACTGACTGACTTACTGAATTGACTTACTGAATTGACTTACTGACTTGACTTACTGACTTGACTGATTTATGCACACTCCAGTGCAACCATCGACTTCAGTACCAGTACCTCTACCATCCAACTCAGCCCAGTAGGGCCACAGCATAACTCTCCACTCCCTTCACAATCATCAACACCAGCACCAACAATTTAAGGTAAGAAATACTATTATTTCTTTTGCATTTGTAGTCTTAAGCAGTAAAAACAACATAATACAGTGGAACCTCAAATATCGAACTTTCTTCAGTCCAGAAGGCTGTTCGAGTGCCTTTACTGAATGAATTTATTCCCATCAGGAATAATGTAAATTAGATTAGTCCATTTCAGACCCTCAAAAATACACTTATAAAAGCACTTACAAAAATACACTTACATAATTGGTTGTGTTGGGAGCAGTTCGATTTTTGAGGTTCCACTGTACATCATGATAATGAACTACAATTACAAATTCCTTTTATTTTTGTAAGATCTGGAGGTGTAAAAAAAAAAAAAAAAAAAAAAAAAAAAAGTTGTTTGGCTTTTGGGGGGGGGGGGCTCCCAGGAACTTAACCCTATTTTTCCCATAAGTTCTTCAGTTTGTAGTTTGTTTAACACAGTTTTGTCTAACATGGCGTTTTCAAGAACCTAACTATCGTGTTAAACGACGGTCTACTGTATAACATGTACAGCACATTTTAAGTTAAACAGCATATAAAGTTCTTTGCCTCATAACAAATGATAATGATTATTATTTAACTGTGCTATATCTTAAATATATTGGCTACTAACCTTAAGAGCACCTCCATACTGTGGTCGAATTTTCAGATTAACATAGAGGAAGCGTTTCTGAATGTCTTGAAGTTTAAGGGTCATCATATATGGCGATGTTGCAGGATTCAGAGTGATCTCTCCACATGAATGAAGTGTATCTGTCCATATAGACAACGATATGCTCTTTGTGGGGTCAACAGAATGCAAGCAAGCATCTTCTCCAGGCTTGACTCTACCATGGCTTTCTGTTGCCTTCATTTCATAATGTATATCATAAGGTAAAAGATTTACCAATGTCAATGGGCTTATCAATACAATAGTGTGACCAGGCTGAACCTGAAACAAATGAAAGGATACTGATTATATATGAAGCAGGGAGGCTTCAGAGTGGGTAGGGGATGTGTAGATCAAGTGTTTACATTGAAGCATATATGTGAACAGTATTTAGATAAAGGTAGGGAAGTTTTTTATTGCATTTATGGATTTAGAAAAGGCATATGATAGAGTGGATAGAGGAGCAATGTGGCAGATGTTGCAAGTATATGGAATAGGTGGTAAGTTACTAAATGCTGTAAAGAGCTTTTATGAGGATAGTGAGGCTCAGGTTAGGGTGTGTAGAAGAGAGGGAGAATACTTTCCGGTAAAAGTAGGTATTAGACAGGGATGTGTAATGTCACCATGGTTGTTTAATATATTTATAGATGGGGTTGTAAAAGAAGTAAATGCTAGGGTGTTTGGGAGAGGGGTGGGATTAAATTATGGGGAATCAAATTCAAAATGGGAATTGACACAGTTACTTTTTGCTGATGATACTGTGCTTATGGGAGATTCTAAAGAAAAATTGCAAAGGTTAGTGGATGAGTTTGAGAATGTGTGTAAAGGTAGAAAGTTGAAAGTGAACATAGAAAAGAGTAAGGTGATGAGGGTATCAAATGATTTAGATAAAGAAAAATTGGATATCAAATTGGGGAGGAGGAGTATGGAAGAAGTGAATGTTTTCAAATACTTGGGAGTTGACGTGTTGGTGGACGGATTTATGAAGGATGAGGTTAATCATAGAATTGATGAGGGAAAAAAGGTGAGTGGTGCGTTGAGGAATATGTGGAGTCAAAAAACGTTATCTATGGAGCAAAGAAGGGAATGTATGAAAGTATAGTAATACCAACACTCTTATATGGATGTGAAGCTTGGGTGGTAAATGCAGCAGCGAGGAGACGGTTGGAGGCAGTGGAGATGTCCTGGTCTAAGGGCAATGTGTGGTGTAAATATATGCAGAAAATTCGGAGTGTGGAAATTAGGAGAAGGTGTGGAGTTAATAAAAGCATTAGTCAGAGGGCAGAAGAGGGGTTGTTGAGGTGGTTTGGTCATTTAGAGAGAATGGATCAATGTAGAATGACATGGAAAGCATATAAATCTATAGGGGAAGGAAGGAGGGGTAGGGGTCGTCCTCGAAAGGGTTGGAAAGAGGGAGTAAAGGAGGTTTTGGGGGCTAGGGGCTTGGACTTCCAGCAAGCGTGCATGAGCGTGTTAGATAGGAGTGAATGGAGGCGAATGATACTTGGGACCTGACGATCTGTTGGAGTGTGAGCAGGGTAGTATTTAGTGAAGGGATTCAGGGAAACCGGTTATGTTCATATAGTCGGACTTGAGTCCTGGAAATGGGAAGTACAATGCCTGCACTTTAAAGGAGGGGTTTGGGATATTGGCAGTTTGGAGGGTTATGTTGTGTATCTTAAGGCTTAAGGCTTCAAAGGAATTGTGAACGGGGATGGTGTACTCATTATCACCTACTGTCACCATGGGATGGTTTGACTGGGGCGCTCGAATTCCCCCGAATTGGAAGAATGAACCTGGTTCTGGTTATTTTGAGAACCACGATATCTGTTTCCTCTACAGGTTCTGCGGTTGGAACGGCCACGGAAAGACCTAGAGTACTGAAGGTTATAGAGAGCATTGCACTCAGATGTGTCATGTCCATGTATTCTATGATAAGTACAGTAGGGAAGATCTGGGTACTCATCATCAGTACGACGTCTCTTAGGGTAACTATCAGGACAATTAATTGCAACATGGCCATGGAGACCCCTGTTATAACAAGTCCGCCGACTATGGTTACTGAATGTACTATGAATACTACGAGGTTTATAACTGGTCCTTGGTGATCGCTGAGATGGTTGACGACCACGATTTGTCTCTGTGGCGCAAACAAGAGGTGGATTGCAGACTGAAGCCATATGTGTGCAAATTACTTTTGATCATGGAAAGTACCTGGGGGCACAAGGAACGTACATGATTTAAGGTAGTAGTGGTTCTTCGTACAGTTGGAGAGTATTAGCTCAAAGCACACAGAAGCCGATGGCATAGTTCATTGGATTGCTCCAAAAGTGCTATTTTAGCAGCGATTCTGTAATGGTTTAAGCTCTTCAGTGGAGAAAGCTGATGACTGGACGATTGCTAACTATGATGCTAAAAGTTTGTCTAATCTACAGACATCACTCAACGATTCATTACTCATGGGTGTAGATTCCTAGTTCCCCTAAAGAAGACATATGGATCAGGCTGTTTTTCTGGACAAGGAAAAGAACGAATCAGTTCCTCATATTGGTGACCCTTAGTAAGATTCCTTAAGTAGCATATCAAGGAGATCACAACGTCAAACAGAGCAGGGGGATCGATGAAGGAGCTTCTTTAGCAAGTCTGATAGGACTTTCAGATGAAGGAGGACCTTCAACTAGAGCACCAGCACGAGAACGAATGGCTTGCAAACATGCTTAAAGACTATGTACCTGGCCAATTGAATAAAAGGTAAGCATCAGGGAATCCCGAGTATAACTATAGTATCTTCTGGTGTCTGGTGGTCGGTCGGCAGTCGCTAAGGAACTGTGAGGACTGAGGACAGGGGGCGGCAACAGTAGTGAGAGGTTGAGTGTCGCATTTCCACTATAGTATCACTTGACGGTTATGTGAGACATATGGCAAAGAAGTTGCACGAGAACAAATAGGCAAAAATAATGAAACTATAAAAATGATAAAAATGCTAGAATTGAAATAAAAGATAAGCAACTAATTTGCAGAAAGTAATAAAAAAATGTCTAAGATACACTGCAAGAGGAAGGACAAGCAATGTAAAGGATATTGGCAAGAAAAAAAAATTACATTGGAAAATTTTTACAAGTAAAAAAAATATTACTGGAGACTGGAAATTAAATGCAAAATGAGCTGTCTTTACTCATGCTAATAAGAACATAATTAGAAAATATTTAAATCAATGTAAAAGTAGAAAATCAAATCACCTAAATTGTATGCAACGGGAGGGATAATTGGGAAATTTAAATATTTTCTAAGAATGCATAAACAAAATTAAAAATATTAATGCAAGACAACATCAGGAAATTAATAAAATGAAAAAACAAGATGCATATAATGAAATGTGAATAATAATGCATAAAAATATCAATAAAAGCAACTAATTCACTGCAGAACAATTAACAAAATAATTCACTGCAGAACAAGTGCAACAAAAATAATTCACTGGCAGAACAAGTTCAACAAAATAATGCACTGCAGAACAGTGCACAAAAAAGGTGTAGAAATAAGCCCTGCAATAATAAAGTCCTCACTGGGGAAACTCAGGTTAAATAATAAAATAAAAATATGACGAAAAATGATTGAAACACTTAACACTTATTGTAAATTAGACAAAACACTTACTCAAACAGAGTAAAGAAAAACACTTACGTTAAACGTATTGAAATTACATCAAGAGTGATTGTTCAAAGAAATATTAAAATATGAAATAAAAATAAAACAACGGAACAAAACGGGAAGGTTAACACTTACAAAGTGGTGAGGCAAGTGTAACACTTAAAGTGGGAGGGAGTGTAACAACTTACAAGTGGTGAAGCAAGTGAAACCACTTACAAGTGGCGAGGGAAGTGTAACACTTACAAGTGGCGGTGGCACACAACACTTAATCACGTATTCATTATTTTAGTATATTCTTACAACAAAATCTTGCTGTGACTGATACGACAAAAATTTGCTGGCAAAAACAATGGTACACAAGTCTGCGAAAAAATTAGAGGAATGAGACACTGCTGGCATACGAAAAAAAAAGGTACACATAGAAATAAATGGATAATTTGGTATACTGGGATTGAATATCAGCATTGTTCACCGTGTTCATTTCTTTTCTCCTGTGCTTGCAGTTTGAGATAGTAGATTCGTTCTCCCTTGCTCATATTGCGTTGTTATAGCAGTTAATTTTTCACCGGGGGGAGTCATCACTCACGAGTTTCGTTATTCTCCAGTAAGAAAGAACGATCCCTTGTGTTCTGGTGATTCGATTCCTGCTCCAGGATGATCTTATTCTTACTGTGAAGCCACCAGCACCCATCAGTGACTTTGTCATGAACCAAGAATTACTGTAATGAAACAGCGAGTTGGGTACTCCTAGCAGAAGAAGACGTATTTTTACGTTAGTTATTCACAGTCACTAGTGATGTAAGCCTTACAGCTAGTTCACGAATTGTACCAGGTGTTGCCACCTGGTATGGATGTTCAGTAAAACAAGCCAGATTGAAATACTTTTGGCCTCGTATGGCAACGATTATTCTGAGTATGTTGAAGAAATGTATGTCTGCATGGCAACTAAGGAAAATGCTAATGGTCCTAATCCAATCCAAGTATATCCAATCACTAGCGAACCTTGGGAAAGAGTTTGCGTAGAGTTGTTCAACTAATTTCCAATGTTCCCTCATGGACAACAAACATCTGTGTGTTATGGTAGACCATTTCAACCAAATATTGTGTAGTAGGTTAGTTTCCTATTGCAGATAAGACTGCCGAGACAGTAGCTAAAGCGTATTAAAGAATGCATTATCTGCAGGGCATACCACCCTACGTCTTAGTAACAGATATGGAGGGTGATTCTGTAATGAGTTTTTTGAAAATTTGTCTGTTACCTTGTACAAGATCTCTAAATCAACCATTGTATTCCTCAATCATCCTGCCAGCATGGGTTAGCGGAACGAACAATAAGAAAGTACTTGATGTCTTGAGAGGCACTATCAATCCCAACAGTGAAAAACTTGGGATGAAGTATATACCTGGATGTGCAGGGTGCTATAAATTCGCTTACATGTTCTATAGGTGACACTCCACTTTATGCATTATTCGTTGTTGTAGAATAAACGTTTGCCTTATGAGTTGTTATATTCTAATCGTAAACCCAAATTTACAACCCCTGATGATTTCATAGCAACTCGTTACATGCTTTGCTCAAAGTGTTTAGAAGAATCCGTGAAACACTTCATAAATCAAACAGCAGCATGTAC